ATTGGTATTTCAGTAGGAAATTGACTTTCGTTCGAGCAATACTTAGCGCACAAATCCAGCAAAAATAGACTTTATTAGAAAAATTAGTAACTCAGTCCTCAGTGCATCAATTTTGATTCTGCAAAATGGAAAACACAACTAAAGGTAAGTAGAATTCATAGACACATTACAAGATCAATACTTACAAAGTATAATACAACAATTGAATAACGTTTTTTAATAAAAAATTCAAGTAAATGACGACCTCGGTATTTATAAAAAAGGGGAAAAGTTTATGAGTTAGACGGAGTTGGGCTAAAAAACCAATTGTCATATTTAGTTAAGACTGCAATGCATCCGAATTAACAAAAAAGTGCTGCCCATATCTGCCCCTCGAGTTTTAATGAACGTTTGAAAATGTAAATACTTGTGTTTGCCACTAATTCATGCGTGTTCGCTTCTCTCTCTCTCTTTTTCTCCCTTTCATACAATTAGTCATTTGCTCACTATTTTCGTCTCCTTTTTTATCATACCTGAATAAAAATTACAAATAGGGGAGAGGCCAACGTTCAGGTATACGTGAACCCCGGGCACGTAATACCGAAGTACAATTAAGCAAATAAACGTTGAGTTTAAGAATATTCAGCATCAGTTTTTTTATAGCTTTTTACGAATATTGATATGGACGCCACAGGATTATTATAAATATTGTTAAAAAAAGTATAATATAAATCGGTCTATAGAATTTAACATTATGAATAAAAGATGTATTGCTATGTTTGCGCGTGCGTCTATAATTACATTATTGCTGAAAATTTTAAACTTGTTTAAAATATAGTTTAGTATAATATGTACATGTACATTTATATTTCAGTTTCTGAAAAAATTACTCTATCACAGTAACAAATGTTCATTGCACTGAAAAGTAATTTGAATGGAACAGAAAGTAATTTAATAAACGTAATTAATTACTTTTTTCGTAATTTTGTCTTTAATTTGTAACCCCGAAAAACCACTTTGTACAAATTTTCAGCTAAATAGAAGAATTCTTTCATATTTTGGTCAGCTTTTTGTTTTTTTTTTAATACTGAGCGTCCATATTGAATTCGGCATTTTGTTTTTCGTAATTTCGACTTTTGATTTGTAACGACTGACCTCGAAAACGCCTAGATACAAAATTTCATTAAAATTGAAATACGCCTTCATATTTTGGCCAGCTTTTTGCGATTTGGGACCACTGTGCGACGGCTAAACTGGATTCCTATGACAATTAATGTGTATAGTTTCACTGTCGGTAAGAGAAAAATACTGTCGATACACTAAACTAAATATATCTATTGAGAATGCGGCTGGACGTGAGACTGTCATGATGAAATATTTAAAAAACAAATTCTCCGTGGGTGTTATACTCATTCGAAGTTCATCTTAAAATATATATATATATCCTGACTTTTAGAGACTTAGTTGTTATTTAGAAAATCTCGCTACAAATATAAAATGATATACGACAGTCTGCTACAATGATACGTTTTCAGCCAACGGCCATACTAGTCAGGATACACCGGTTCTCGTCCGATCACCGAAGTTAAGCTGAGTTGGGCGCGGATAGTACTTGGATGGGTGACCGCTTGGGAACTCCGCGTGCTGTTGGCTTTTTTTTATCGGCGTCGGGATCAAACGCAGATGAAAAAACAGTGTATGTAGCAGCCAATCCGAATCTGACTACGGATTAAACATGGAGACGCGAATAGTTGCGTAAAGTTACGGGAAATTTTTAATTTTTGAGGGGGGG